AGATATCTGATCTCACTTCAGTGGCAGGGTTGGTCTCAAAGGACTTCTCTCTGTTTTCTCCAGTGTGCAAGACCTCAGACTGACTCTGACCCTTTGCAGATCCCTGTGCTCAGCCCAAGCCCTGTGTCTAGAGCCTGAAGTGGGGTGCCTGATGTGAGATGCCTGATGTGGCATGGAACATCAAAGGAGACAGTCTTGAGGCCAAATCTCAACTCTGCTCCTCACTAATGGTCAGACTTTCCCCCTCTATAAAATGGGAAGGCCAATGCCAGGCACCCATAGAGCTAAATGAGAATTATACAAGAGCAGCACATGCCCAGCACATGAGGAATAATGGATCAGAGTGCTGTGATCAGCCCTACGTTTCCACATGTATCTCTCATCTGATTTATGATCTGGGGTCCATTCTCCTGGCCCAGAGGAGACTAAAGCAAAATATTGCCACTGGGGACATATCTGTTTAACCTGAAACAACTGCCATTTCCCTTGAGACCCAGGTGCCTATTCCCTTTAACCAGAGTCAGGACAGCCAGAGCCCTGTCAGGCACTCCATGAGCACCAGACATACATGGCAACTATCCTCTAAGGTCTACTCAACAGTCACACTGGTCTGGAATTCATCAAATAGGCTAAGCTAACTGGCCAGCACGCTCTAGGGACCCATCAGTCTCTGCTCTGCTCTCATCTGAAGTACACAAACATCATTACATCCTGTTTTTTAAATGATATATTTATTTTTATTTTATGTGCATTGGCATTTTGTCAGATATATGTCTGTGTGAGGGTGTCACATCCCCTGGAGGTAGACATAGGCATTTTAAAGCTGTCATGTGGGTGCTGGGAATCAAACTCAGAACCTCTGGAAGAGTGGTCAGTGCTCTTAACCTCTGAGCTATCTCTCCAGCTCCTCACACCTGATTTTTGTTTGTTTGTTTGTTTTGTTTTGTTTTTAAATATAAATTCTGAGTGCATGGCAAGAACTTTACCAACTAATCTACCCCTCTAGCCCACAAAGGTAGCATTTTTTTTTTTACATCTATTCTAAGCACTTAATGTGTCTAAGCCTGCATGGGGCTGTATGTGAGCACCTTCCATCTTAGTAACCCATCAGAGAGGCAAGAACTAGAATGTAGACAATGACTCCCATCTTCTAGATGAATCTAAGGCTGCACCACTAGCCAATGAAGGGGTAGTGGTACCCTTCTTGGATACCATGATGCACATGCCATTGTATCACCTGTATACAGCACAAGTGGGGTTGCCTATTCTTCAGGGTGGTCCTGATACAAGCTGATGAGCACTCTGAGCCCTCCCCACATCTGCTATTCCCCCATCTGACATCTGCATGAAGGAAATGGAGCACTATTCCTATGCTTGTCCAAGGGATAGCTCATCCCTGGTAGGTTATGAATAAGGTACTTTCATAAGAGACTGTTGTGCTCATGAATTTATTAATGTACTCAAAGAGTCCACAGGAGTAGAGATGGGGTGCCTGCATGAACCAAACCCCCAACAGTGCAGTTTGTTCAGATACCTCTCTGGAAGACCACAGAAGACTCACTGAACAATGAATTACTGCCTGGTCATGCATCTGAAAAGTGGGTTCCAAGGGAGCAGGCCAAATTTGAGGGAGCATGTGATGATTGAGGCTAGGCCTCTGACCCAAGGGCACTCAACTCTGCAGCATGTCACCTGTGCCACAGTCTACCCTCCTTTGAGCTCTCTGCCTTCTGACATCTTGATCCCTTCCTCATTCTCTTCCAACCACCTCTTCTCTTGTGGGTAGTAAGTCTCTCTGGCTTTCTCAGTCCATGCCAGTGAGAAACTTTCTGTCCGACCCAAGTTAGGTGTTCTCTGCCTTAGCCATGTGAAGGAACCATAAGTGACTTTGCGCCTCTGCAGAAGCTACCTCATTATAGAAGAGTTCTCAGGACCTCCTGGGGTCGTGTTAGCTTGGGAAATGCTCCATCCCTCCTGTCTCTCCATGATGTCGGGTCTGAGAATCAGTGATGCACTCCTAGTTCTATCTCTTCCAGGCCACAATTAGCAAATTCTATTCCCTCCAGGGCATCTTAAAGGAGTCCTTCTGTTCTGCATGAGTACACCAGCCCACTGACAAGGCACATGTCTGAGTTTCACTGACTCAGTGTCTCCAGAGGGGGCCCTGAGGTTGTCACCATTTCCCAATCCCTCAACCTCACTTTGGGATTCCTTAGTTTACTCAATCAGGGAAGTAAGAAGTGAAAAGCCCCATATTCTAGCCACATTTCTACTCCAGCTTCATTATGGCCAATGTCTTCATCCCCATCTGACCCTAAAATCTCTCTCTTGACTTTGTCATCAAAACTCTAGAGAGCATGGACTGTCACTATTAGGACCCCAACAGGTCAAGGGGATGGGCAACGGTTGAGCAGAAAAGACCCTCAGCTTTAATAGATCCAAGCTACAAAGACTAGAGCAGTTCCAGAGAGATGCTACTCTCATCTGAGAGGCCAGTCGTGAAAAGCTGTAAGAATGTACCATGAAGTAGGGGTTTCCTGTTTAGGTTCTCTCCCGTGGTGACTCAGCTACAAGTCCTTTATTCTAGTGACCTGGCACTGACTTTATTAAGCCTAAGATTGAGCAATACCTTACTAGAAGTTGACAGAGGTGTTCTGTTCACAGCCCTTACCCGGCAGACATTGCTAATCACCTACAAAGAGGAAAGGCTCTAAGGATGCTCTGATGAAGGATGGGATGGACCTGGTCTAAGAAGAGAGTACAGAAAGATGGGGGCATTCTGAATGCTGATGCCTTACTTCGGAACTTAAAACAACTACGACAGTGAACACAAACCATGGCTCAAAACAACAGAAATTTATTCTGTAGTGTCCTGGAGACAGGAAGTCCAAATTACAGGTGCTGGTCCTCTCTGGAGCACTGAGGCATGAGCTTCCCAGGCCTCTCATCTGTTGAGTATGTAAGTCTTCTTGGGTGCTCCGTGGCTAGCAGCTGCCTCACTCCAGTCTCGCATCTCTATGTCACACCCCTTCTTTCTGTTTTCATGCCTAAGCCCCAAACCATCACCTTTTTCAATCTCAGGACATTTAGAGGGCATTATAACCTAGGATCTCAAGACTCTGAACTCCATTACATTAAGGTTCTTTTTCCAAATTAATTTACCTTCATAGGCTGAGTAGATTAGGAAGTGCCTGTATCTTTTAGGGACAAGAGGTCTAAGTGCTAATTAGCTATGCCTGCACAAAGGAGAAGCCTGGGCCTATCTTAAAAGGTTTTCCTAGGCTGGAAATCCCACAAGCACCTTCACTGAGATTATTTAACCAGATGCAGACTGTGAGCAAGGCTTTCTAAGTTCACAGGTATAGTCTTTGGTCCCTGGGTGTGCTCTGGTGGTCCCATTCATGGAGACAAAACCACTCCAGTGGCTTTGCTGATCCCTCAACTCATGCAAAGTCAGTAAATGAGAAGATACAGCCAAAATCAAGCAAAGCACAAACAGCCAGGGCACAGTCAGGGCTGGACTGCACCCTGGAAATGGGGAGTGACATCAACACCTTGACTCCTTCTCAGGAGCTGGGTCCAGGCTTCTTAGTCCCTTCCTAGGGAGGATTCTGCATGGGAAAACACATGGGTATTCCTGAGCAACACTTCACTCAAAGCTGGACCTGGAATTCTCACAAGGCCACGTCTTCATGTTACCTCCTGCATCCTCCCAAGCACCTAGTGACCACATGGGAATCCTTCTCTGCTATATTCAACCACAGGGCAGTGACACTCGAGGCCCTGAAGAATCCCCAGCTTAAAGCCTGAAGTCCAAGACCCCACATCTAGCAAATGTTCCCGGTCTTAAGACCAAGGGCTGTGTCTCAGCTGTGGGTCCTCTGTTTCCTTAAGCAAGGCACAGCAAGTTCTTTCCCAGAGTGGCTCACTGAGTGACAGCTGTCAAGCAGCTGAGCGACCTGGCTGGAGAGTTCCTTCATTTGCTTTTGTTATAAATAATTGGGAGGGAATAGGCAAACAGCTCAATAGCTAACACGTTAGGTTTGCAAGCATGAGGAAGGACCTGAGCTTGATCCTCAGAAACCATGTGTTGAAGAAGGGCTTGCTGGCATGCACTTGTAATCCAAGAGCTGGGAGGTGGTAACAAGCACCCTGGGGCTCACTGGCCAGCCAGTTTAGCCTGCTTGCCAAGTATCCCAGGCTAGTCAAAGACCCTGTCTTAAACAACAAGGTGGACATTACCTAAAGAATAACATCTGGGGTTGACCTCTGGCCTCCCCATGTGTGCACATGCATCCACACGTATACACTGCACCTGCACACATATTCACATGCACACACACATAAAATAAACAACATATACATCGGATGGGGAAATAATTATCCCCATTAAGACACCCCACAGACTTTGAGAGGCAATATTCCCATCCACAATGCACAACAGCCCCCAAGTTCTCCATCTTCTTCCCATACTTGAGTCATACCAAGTCCAGGACACAGGAATGTCTATACCACCAAAGACTCCACTACTACACAGGAGGCAGGAAAAGAAAGCACCACAGGCATTGCCAATGCATATCTTAATGAGAAAACAAAAACAAACAAACAAAAAAAGCGGGTGGGGGTAGGTAGTGGAATGCAGCCCAGAGAGAAAAGCATGCCATTGGGGCCACAGACAAAATGCAGGCTTCCAAGCTTAGGTTCACAGTTCAAAGATGGAAACAGAGCTAAACGAGAGAGCATTTGTCTAGCATGTGCATGGCCCTGGGTTTGATCCCTAGCATTGAAAAAGAATCTAATTTCATATAAATCAAAAATAATTTTAAGATATAGGTATGTCCTGGTGTCTTAAATGTTGCCAGGGATGTACTTACACTAAAAATAAAATCCCACATTGTTTGAAATTTAAGTTTAACTGAGCAGCCTGTACTTTCATTTGCTAAATTTGGTTATCATTGGCAGGAAACCAAAGTGTACATTCAAAGAGAAGCTGGACTCACCTGATGGCTTCTGCAATCCGAGTGCTTTCCTTTCTCCGGTCACTGGACAGCCGGCCAATCAGGTAGGAATAGTCCAGGCCACTGCAGAACACACTGCCCACTGCACTGAGCAGCAGTAGCTTGCTGTCATCTGTGGCCGCATTGCACAGTGCTCGCCGGACTTCTTTCATGATCTGCAGGCAGAGGAGAGTTTGCAGAGCTCTGAATATCTGCAAGCACAGGCCTGACCCAGGAAAGAATCTTGACAGAACCAAAGCCTTCCAGCACCACCCACAGTGCTAGCAGAAGGGATCAACTTGGAGGACCTGAGGTCACTGGTCCAGACCTGGGAGCCTGGCGTGAACTTGGCCAGTCTCTAGAAACCTGTGCAGACCTACTTCTGGTATTTTCTGGCTGAAGCCCTCACAAAGTGTGGGGAAATTGTCCTGTGTACAGCTTTGATGAGCTACATAAGCCCCTAAATGGTTAAGTTCAGTTTTTTTCTCTTGTTTTATCTCCCTGACCCTGGTTGTAGGTAGCCAGTGGTAAGCAAGCTTTAGTATTAGAACATGACCAAGCTCATGGTTAGCCATGTATTATCCACAAGATTGGAGATTTGTTGGTCTTAACATCTATAATTATTTCCAGGTAAGGAATAAATGACAAGCCCCCTGAAAGTATAGTAAAATCTGGATTAAGAACATCTTGTTCTCCTCATCATGCAACGATAGGGGAAATTTCACTTGTTTGCCCCAGCTAGACTGTTGTTTGAACAATGATCAGAATGTTGTCTTTCTTAGCCCATGCTGTAATATTGATACTATCACATTGCTTAGTATAGATATTCAAAAGTGACCTGCTGCAAGTCAGTAACCCTCACAGCTTTTGCCTCCAACCTTAAAACAAAACTACTCTGCTCCCATGCCTAGAAGCCTCACTGAAGGTAAGAGTGTCTCAAAGCATCTTGGCTCTGACATCTAAACCTCCCGTGAAACAGTCATTTGGCTGAGGGGCATCGAGGAAGCTTTTCAGTGCACAGGAGAGAGCAGACCCTCCCCTTTCCCAGGCTACTGAGGTTGCCACAGAACCAGGGGCTGCAGCTCAAGTCCTGCCACACACACTGGGCAAAGAAGCAAAAGCAGCACACAGGACCTCAAAAGCTGGCACTGGATGAGACCACACCTGTGCCCTCCACACTGACTCATTCCAGTCACATCCCTGTCGTGAGTATGATACATGCTCCCTACAAACCTTTCCCAGAAGCCTGGGCAATCACAATGACCCACAGCAGTGTGGCCAGGCTGCAAAATGCAGGCTTCCTGGTCAGGAAACTTGCACTATAATCTAGTGCTAACTAGTGTAGCCCTTCTTCAGCCTCTCTCCACCACACGTCCTCTACATCATAGCCAGAACAAGCAGCTTGAACTATAGGTAAATTCTCCCATGAGAACTTAAAACCCCAACACAAAGTTCTGAGGTGTAATACCACATGAAAGAGAAACCTTCAAATTAAAAAAAAAAGGGGGGGAGGACTGTAGAGATGGCTCAGTAGTTAAAATGGCACACTGTTCCTGCAAAGGACCCAAGCTGTCTTCCTGAGGCTGTGGTAGGAGGCTCATAACTGCTTAATACCCAGCTCCAGGAGTATGGCTTCTGAGGGTACTGCACTCATGTGCATAAAACCACACCTAGATGCATGCACACACGTGTGTGTGTGTGTGTGTGTGTGTGCATGCGTGCGTGCATGTAAATAAAAAGCAGTATCTTTTAAAAATTAATGAATTGATTGATATGGAAATTGGATACAAGCTAGTGATAACCCTGGAGCATTTCATAAACATGAGCACAGAAGCGTTTTGGAGAGAGACTGAAACCTAAGCCACAATGAGGAGTGTGCAGGAAAACAACCCCCTCTGTCTGCAGATGAGTACACAACAAAATAACAAAGCATTTGAGAAATATGAACTGACACTCACATGGAAGGGACACAACAACTTCAAGTAACATTGATCTAAGAGACTGTAACAGTTTAAAACAGGTTTAAAATAGTCAAGCAAGGGGAAAGGGGCCCGGTAAAAATGACAACTAACAGAGAATGAAATGAAAGGGTTCAAGGGAAGAAGATATATCACACGGACAACAAAGTCATGAGTTGCTGCCTAGATTAACATTGGACTAAACAGAGCTGGAGAGAGAATAAGCAAACCGGAAGATCTGAAGAAATCTCCCTGAGCCCAAATCAGAGAAACAGATAGAAAAAACAAATAAGAGGGTAACACTAAGTGTAAGCCATGAAGGTTAAAATGGGCACTGAAGGAGCCACCTTCAAATGTCACGGAGAACAGGTAGAGCCGTGTCTGAGGCAGAGGCTGAGAATGTATATTGGTGGACTGTACTCTGACCTGAACATGGCAAAGAGAAAATATTTCCTGAATGTTCCCTAGCTCCTGGCCCCACTCTCCACCTTCCAAGTCAGCAATGGCCTGCCTCTCTCTGACACTGACTCCTCTGTCTTCCTCTTCTTCACTAAGGACCCTGTGATGACACCAACACCATGGAGACCTTTCGTCTCTTCATCACAAAGTCAGCTGAGAAGCAACCTTCATTCCTCAGAAACCTTAACGCCCATACATGTAACATAACATCGTCTTAGGTTTAGATTAAGATGGCAGCATCTTGGGAATGGTTTAAGTCTGCTAATATATGCCTGAATTCTGGACACCATAAAAAGCCAAGAAAAAGGAAAGACAAATCTTTAAGTATCCAGGGGCAAGGGAAAGCTTATCTCAAAGGTGAACCCTTGACCAGAGGACAGTTCTAAAGAACTCTAGCAAACACTAGCGGAAGGTAATAGAATATAGTGTCAAATGTGCTGAGAGAAACATCTATAGGACCAATTCTTCACCAATCTAACTGGTCATTCAAAGGCAAGGGTAAAGCATGGGTAATCTCCACACACAAGAGTTTATCACTCCAAGACTTTCAAAGAATATAACTACAAAGCACGGACTTCAAGCAGAGGAAATATGCATTCAGAAAGAAAAACGTATAGATAAACTAGAAGAAGGTCAAATGAGACAGACAGATGCACAGCAGACAGAATGAAAAGGAGACAGGCTTTGAGGGAAGTCTGAAATGGCCAGACAGTGACAAGCAGGGCATGGTAGACACGTGCATGGCTGGCCTGTTCCTGTGTGTCCCTGTTAGCTTTAGCTGTCAACTTGGCCCAGTCATCTGAGAGGAGAGACTCAATTGGGTGAACTGTCTACATCGGCTGCGGGCATGTTTGGTGGGGAACTGTCATGATGCAGGAGGGCACAGCCCACTGTGGGTGGCACCATTCCTAAGGTAATTAGTTCTGATTGTTTAAGCACGCTAGCCAAAAATGAGCCAGAGAGCAAGGCAGAACTCAGCTTTCTTCCGTGGTTTCTGCTTTCTGGATCCTGTCTTGAGTTCCAGCTTTTATTTCTCTCAATGACGGACCAGGAAGTGTAAGATGAAATAAGCCCTTTTTTCCCCACTAAACTGTTTTTAGTTTAAGTGTTTTGTCAGGAGAGCAGAAAGTGAGCTTCAAACACTGTGGATGGGGGTGGGGGAGCTGGATAAAACAAGCACGGGCGAAAGCAGAGGCTGGAGGCAGGCACCGGGCCCCTCTCTGAGCAGGAAAATGGACAAGCTTTGAACTGTGAAGCCTTGCTTGCCGGCTCGTTCTAGAGGGCCTTGTTCCCACTCCTGTGCTGACAAGAATATCACTATGCACCTTCTAATCTCAGAACTGAGTCAATGCCTCTAGTCACGAATGGATTTTTCACTTATATTGTCAATCTACCCAAAGACACTTGTACAGCCAGGAGAAGAAATTCAATTGTCACCATGAAAGGGTCCCTTCCAGTCTGTTCAATAACAAGCAAGGTGGCCTTGCTAGTGACCCTGAGCAACTCTGGTTTCATCTTAGCAACAGCAAGAGCCTACATAGCCAGCCCTGGGTACTAACCACTCTTGAGCACCTCCATGTGCTGTCTCTAATCCCATAAGGAAGGCGTGGTACCTTCTCTGTAAACAGGTGCACAGGTAGAATAATTTCCCCTGGTAACAGAAATGGGGGTGGGATTGGAACCAAGGTTGCTAGACTCCTAAATCTACATTCCCCTTCTAACCCCTCTTGGGTTCAGTGGAATCTTTCTTTAGGGACTACCATACCCAGGACGCCAGATCACCCAACTTGTCAAGCCACTGAAATCAGTGGATCCATAACTCATTCTTGTAACTGACTGCTGTGGATCAGGGATGCAGGCCATCACAAACCAAGCCCATGGCTCGGTAGGTAGGGTCCCCAGGTACCTCAGATCAGTGGAGCTTTGTGTGGCATCCGGGATGAGTGGGCACCCATTACCACACAAAGCTGTTCCATAGAGGCAGAAAGAACTGAGAGGTGTTACCTTGATTCAATTTATGGAAGGAAATTATGTACTTTTTGAAAAGCTTTTAAAAGGCTGCAGGAAGAATCAGCCTCATGTGGATGTGTCATAATGAGTTTAAAGTCACACGGGTTCCAAGTGTATGTGTCTATGAGGAATTGCTCATCAGGAGCCCACATTCTAGATCCTACAGAGAGACCCTGGGTGCTTCTGCTAAAGGTAGGTGAGGATGATCCCAAAAAACTCTATGCTTACAAAAGGGGCAACAGCAACCAACTCATCTACTTCATGAACCCCAAAGGCACTTGCCAGCTCTACTCTCACAAACTGTCAGTCATTCTGGGCTGTCAGACCCATAACCCTATAAAAGAGCCACTGGCTATGTAAATCATAAAAGACATGGGGTCACAAGTTCAAGGACATGGCACCCCCACCACCACTTCATGGGCATTCCTGAGGGTGTCAGATGCATCAGGGGATCCCCGGCCATCCTGTCAATGCCAGCCTGGAAGAGCAGTTCCTCTAGAGCAGTGGTTCTTGACCTATGGGTTGAGATCCCTCTGGGGGGATGAATGACCCTTTCACTGGGGTTGCCTAAGACCATCTGAAAACACAGATATTTACATTGTGATTCATAACAGTAGCAAAATTATGAAGTATCAGTGAAAATAATCTATAGTTGAGGGCCACCACAGCATGAAGAACTGTATTAAAGGGTCACAGCACAGAGAGACTGAGAACCACTTCTCTAGAGAGTGCCTACACCCAGATGTGTTGCAAACTCTCCACGCTTCCATAGATATTATGGACAAGTGAGTACTGGGTGAAGAAGGCCAGAAGAAGGGGGTGTGAAATCACCTGTCTCCCCCAAAGTTCCTTACCTCAGGGGTCAATGCATTGTTATCTGAAGTCTGGCTGGACAGAAGAATGTGTGTGAAGCCCTCTTCTTTCCGTACCACGATGTCACGGAACCGACAGTTGCTTTCATTCTGGCGGACACTGTACCTGAGCCTCTTGTCAAAGACATAGTCCTTCTCTGTCTCCAGCTTCCTCTTCACAGGGCTGTGTAGGTTCAGGCCTCCATTGGTCAGAGCAGGGCCTTCCAAAATCAGAAAAGCTATGTGAGAGACTGGCCTGCATTATAAACCCAAACCAACTAGAGAAAGCCCAAATTTCCAGTGGAAAAAAGCCAGGGTGCCCAGGGCACCATGTGCTCTGCTTAGAGGGGGCTTAAAGAGTTCAGGACATAAATTACATGTCTTCAAATTCAGAAAATAATCTGGGGACTTTTAGCAAGGGCCTGATCCCATTGTGGAACGCATCTGCTTAAACCAGGATTCTTCACAACCAAGAACCTTCTGACCACTGAGGAGGCAGTCCTGCCCATTGGTGGACACACATGACTGACAGAGAATCTTTATGAAAAAGCGCTACTAGCCACTGGCCTGGATCCAACTGGTACAGAGCTGCACCATGAGTAAGCACAATGCTCCAACACTACAGGTGAATTACCCCATCCAATGTGAAAGCCAGAAGTAGGGCTTGGAGTGCCCAATGCCTAACTCCAGATAGTGAGGCCCAACATGCAGGGCCCTCATTCCCACCTCTCCTCTGTCAAATGATTAACTTTGTATCTTGTATATTAGTATTCACAAATGACCACAGAGTACCTTCAATAAGAAGATACTGTTTTAACTTGCTTTCTATTACTTTGATAAAGACACCATGTCCAAAGCAATTTGGGGAGGCAAGCGTGTATTTTGGTTTATAGCTCTGGTCATATTCTATTAATGTGGATACAAAAATTCTTTGACAAGGGTCAGGCATGACGGCACATGCCATTAATTCCTGCACTTAGAAAACAAAGACCAGCCAGAACGACATAGTGAGACCCTATTTTAAAATAAACAAAGGCTTTGATGAAACACTAGTTAATCACTTCCTACAATACAGACAGAATTCTATGCTCTGAACAGGTGAGGGGAGCTGGTTCAATATCTAAAAACCAGTTGGTGTAGTCAAGCACACAGGGAGTGTAAAGATGAAAAAAAATATTCATCAACACATAAAAACCATCTGACAAAAATGTCACAGAGGACTGCATGCTCCTCAACAACACATCTAACATTTACACCATTCCTTATTGAGAAAAACTCCCTCTTAACACCCAAAGTCACCCAAAGTCTTTCTCCTACTCAACTTGATCCTAGAAGACCTAGCTAGTGTATGAAGACAAGAAAATGCAATTAAATTATAGGCATTGAGAGGGAAGAGAGCGGCTGGAGAGTTGGTTCAGTAGTTAAGAGTACTGACTGCTCTTCCAGAAGCCCCAGGTTCAATTCCAGCAACCACATGGCAGTTCATAACTGTCTGTAGCTCCAATTCCAATGGATGGATCCAACACCTTCACATACATACAAGCAGGCAAAATGCCAACACACATAAAATAAAAATAAATAAGCCACTTAAAAAGAGAGATGGAATAGACTGTTTACAGATGGCAGGGTTGTTCACACATAAAGCACCAAATAACTGAGGGCCAAAGAAATCAACCATTCCAGGAATTAATCAGCAAATTCAGCAAGGTTTCAAGATGCAAGATTAATACACCTATTATTCACTGTCCAACCTACCAACACTGAACAAATGGAATTTGACATTTAAAAAACCAGCATGAAAAATATGAACTACATTCAGCTCTAATAAAAATATGTATGGGATCAGCATATAGGAAACTACAAAACTCTAATGAAAGACATTGAAGGATTTCTAACCAAAAACAGAGTATTGTTGCTTCAATGAGAAACATCCTCCATAGCTCATGTGTTTGAACATTTGGTCCCCAGTTGGTGGCACTGTTTGGGTAGGTAGAAGTATTAGGATATGGGGCCTTCTGGAGGTCGTATACCACTAAGGGTGGGCTTGGAGCAGTTTATAACCTCACACCACTTTGAGTTGGCTACCTTGGCCACTTATAATGATGACATGTGATCAGGCAGCTGCCTGCTCCTGTGCCTGTAGCCATGCCTTCTTTACCAACTCCTCCCTCTGGAACCTTAGGCCAAAATAAATGCTTCTTTCTGTAACCTGGCTTTGGTCATGGAATTACATTCGAGGGACAAAAAAATAATTAATACAAATATGCCCTGTTCAAGAATCAGACCATTTAACATATGTAAGATGTCAACTCTTCCCAACTGATCTATGAGTTCAATGCAATCCCAGTTAAAATCCCAGCAAGCTATTTTATACCCAGTGTCAAACTAACTCTGAACTCGTGTTTAGGAAGGCAAAATATGTAGAACAGCCAGAAACAATGCTTCAAGATAAGAAGAGTTGGTTCTTTCCCAGACTCAAACCTTAATAAAAAAAAAAAAAGCCACAGTATTCAATGTACAGACATAGACCACTGACTGGGTCCCAACAGAGAACATATAAACCGATGCTGGCATATACAGTGTCAGGACAATTCAGTGGGGGTAAATACATCCTTTCCCAACAAGTGCCACTGAAACAAATAGAGACCATTGGCAGCAGAAGAAAAAAAGTGAGCATGGACACACCACATTTGTCATGACTAGCTGTCAACTTGATATACAGCTATAGTCAGCTGTGAAGAGGGGATCTCAGCTGAAGATTGCCCAGAACAGATTGGCCTGTGGCCAAGACTAAAAGACATTTTCCTGGTTGATAATTGATATAGAAGTCCCAGTCCACTGTGGGCAGTTCCATCCGTAGGCAGATGGGACTTGGCTGTATAAGAAAGCTAGTTAGGTGAGCCAGTAAGTGGTTGCTCACCAGAGTTTCTACTTCACATTTCTACCCTGACATTCCTCAACAACAGGCTGTAACCAGTGAGATGAAATATAAACCTTTTCTCGAAGTTCCTCCCAGTTGTGATGTTTTTTGTGTTTATCACAGCAAGAGAAACCAAACTAGGACATCTTACACACACACACACACACACAGAGAGAGAGAGAGAGAGAGAGAGAGAGAGAGACACACACACATACACACACACGCACGCACGCACACATAGACAAATGCAATTTCTTTCATAATGGATCACAGACCTAAATACAAAATGGCAATATATCTAAAAGGCAATCAGATAAACCTCTAGGGACCCTGGTCTTGACAATAAATTTCTATATTCAGCATAAAAAAATGGGCAAGCTGAACATTGTAAAAATTAGAAACTTCTGTTCCCTGAAGGGCATCATGGAGAGAATTGAGAGACAAGCTACACTCTGCATGAAAACGGTTTGCCAAATATATATCTGAGAGATTTTGTATTCAAAATACACAGAGCTTCAGTAAGAAAACAAACAACCCAACTTAAAGGTGGGCAGGAGATCTAAAGAGCCAAAGAACGCCTTTTCACTGAGGAGGGGAAATCCAGGAGACATCAGGACACACAGGGTGGATCTGTTAACTTACAACGCAGCAACGAGACCGAGGGCTCCCTGGTGAAGGCTGAGGTGGCTGGTGAAGAGCAGGTGTGCATGGCCATGCTCACTGTGGTCACTGAGACAGAGGGACAGCTGGTGAGGACCAGGTGTGCACAGTCGAGCTCCCTGCTGACAGCCACACACAGCTGCACAGCACTATGGAAGAAGGCTTGGACTTGTCTTTCTTCTCTAAACAAATCTATTTTTCTTAAACCATCTTTATTCTTGAGAATGCCATACACAAATGTGATGAAATGCGGTCATATCTATCATCTATTCCACCCCTCCATCTCCTCCCACATCCCTGCAATATTCTCCCTCCCAACTTGCCTCCCTTTTAAAGTTGTTTTTGCATATAATGTGCTCTGGTAGGCCGCACCCCCACTGCCTACCATCTAATTGCTCACCTATATTCCCTGCCGCCTTTTCCTTCTGTGTGGTTTTCACATGCCCACGGAGTCCACTCAGGACTGCCAGAATGTACAGCTAGAGCGAGCATGGGGATGCTACCAATAGCTTCACCCTCCAAAGAGAAGAATTTCATGGTGGCCTGAAGACATCTCTGCTGTCTCTTGTGTTCTCACAGGTGATGCTAAAAAAAAAAAAAAAAAATGGCAAGCTGCACTCACTACACTAATTCTCTTAACAGGGAATGTGAGGAGGGAAATGTGATTTTAACACTGGTCCCAAACACAGAGGAGCTTGTCCCAGGACATCTAATGAATTCAAACATTGCTTTAGTGGGACACAATAACTATCCAGTCCACTTTCTGCCAACTGTGAGCTAATCAAACCTTCTCAAAACCCAGCCATAAAGGAACAATCTTTCTGCTAGCCTGGAACACTCGATGGGGCTGGTATCAACAATTTAACTTAAGACCCAATTGACATGTATACCCTTGACAAATATATGCTATGCGTAAGATATAACATGAGATCAGACTGAAGCTGTGTCCTGGGCAATGCAAGGGTGTGAGCAAGGGACCAAGGCCTTGAGAAAGTAACAAGACGTGTATGAGAGAAGAAACCAATATTGAAGTTGTAACTTCAGCTCAGGCGTCTGTGGTTGCCACTTGGGGAAGAATTACTACCAGAGCCCTTCAGCATGGGGTTGTGAGTTGCTGTTCTCTTCCTATTTCTGGGGAACACGGTTTGTTACAGCCCTCTGGTGTCAGGTGGTGGCAGACTGACCTCTGCAGACATGGCAAGCTTGAGTTGCCTTAAGTTTCATGCGGGTCAGACCTGGATCCTAGACTTCCCTAGAGGATGATTTCACTCTGTCTGTTGCCACTGTGGATTTTCCCAGCATGCCAAGAAATAGAAAATAATATGCTATATCCTGAGTGTGTTCAAAGGAATAATAAGTTCATGAAAGAATTAACTGTCACGGGAGAAACACTATAGAAGACTATAATATGTTACCCACCATATGCCACCTGAGACAATGTCAAGGTCTTATCCTATCTGAAGGCAATTGAGAAGAAGCAAAGAGCAACTTTCTGCATTTTCTATAATGACTTAAAAAAGTAAAACCAAGACACATCAATCTCCAGAAGTCCTTCCTCCTGCCTTTACTGGGACAAACACTGGAACCTCTACAGACATCTGCTAAGAGCATACTGAATCCTGTCTTTAGTGTCTCCCGATG